AGAGAGAGAGAGAGAGAGAGAGAGAGAGAGAGAGAGAGAGAGAGAGAGAGAGAGAGAGAGGAGGAGGGAGAGAGCGAGAGAGAGAAAGAGAGACGTAAAGCATGCTTATTCACGAGACGCTTTTATTAACTAACGTCATCTTTACTTAAGGATAGCAATCGCACGTTGAGTTAAAAGAGCGCTTCGCCCCGCGTGGCACATCGCGATCAAAACAGCCATTAATAGTGCGACGTATACTCTTTCACCCGACTACCCGAGATCGATCTACCTGCTTTGCATCAGTGATACACGCGCTCCACGATCGATCGGCACGATGTGTGACCGGCGATAATAATAATAATAAATTATCCGCGTGTGTTACTTACTTTTGCGCGGGTAATTTTGTAAAAAATAATACGGAGGGGGGTGCTATTACGATACGCGACGAGTCGCATTTGCACTTCTGCATCGTTCGGCTCGTTCTCTCCCTTTTCCCTCCTATTTTTTTTCTTCGAGCGAACCACCGATTATGGAGAAACAGGTGCTCTCGCGTGATCAGTCACAGGGGCGATTCGCGCTCGATAAACCGCATTGTTTCTGATCAAATAGGCGTCGGAACCGCATAGCCGTGTAATGTCTGTATTTGATGTGTGTCGCAATGAGTTTTCATTGCGCAAATATAAAAACGTACTCGTCTGTGCTGTTTGTGTGTGAGTGTACACTCGCACACAAGCTATATATAACTCTCTAAACATATAGGACGTGTAGATTAGGTCAAACTCAATAGAAAAGTCCTCTATTATTTTGCGAACAACTGCGTATTATTCGCAATTACTAATTAAAGAAGATTGGCGAATGATCGTGCGGGATACTGTACAAGATATGACGGTGAGTATGATTTGCATCGTGTGCTTGTACATTACGTTAAACCAGAGTTGTGCAAATGTCAATTAAATTTTCTTCAATTTAATAATTGATTCGAACAAATATGTTTCAATTCGACTAATTGACGATTAGTCTCAATTAATTGACGTCTCAAGCGAAATCAACTGAAGAACGTTTTATTGAGGATTGGTTTCAAAGAATTCCATTAGAGACGGTCAATTAAAAATTCATATGAGCAAAAGGAGTTAAAAAAAATTCAATTAACAAATGAACTTTGCAAATTTAATTAAGAAATGTTTAATCCACGATGCAACTTAGCAAATTGAGTTAAAGACCATTAAATTGAGAATTGATATAAGTGAATTTAATCGAACGTTGAATTATTCAAGGTTACAATTGGTCTTATGGGTAATCATAGCTGAAGCCTCCTGGTATCGCGGGAGATGCTGATAATAGGCAAGCACGAGGACTCGCCTCGAAAATAGGGATGTGCGATTTATGAAATTGTGTATTGCGATGCAATCCTTTTAAGAATTACAATAAATGTGATCACAATTTTGTGTCGCAAATATGTTTTTAAATCGCGCGTAATTTTGTATCGCAAATGTGATTTTTAATCATATAAAATAACCTGGGGCATGATGGAAACCGTAATATTTAACAAACAAAAATGTCAAGCATATTAAAAATAAATATGCAATAAAAAATATTAAAAATAAATACACTTTTTCTTCGTACTACATTAAAATATTCTTTGAGATATCTACTATAAAAAAACATAAGTTTTACTATGAAAGATTAGTTACAAATGAAAGCATAATGAAATTAAATGATGTTTTCTTAAAAACATTTAACATCATTATGCTTTTTAGATGGGGCGAAATAAGAGACATTTTTAAACAAAATTTGTTTATTTCCGAATCACTCATTTTTAAATCATTAATTTTTAAAGTGATTTATTATATTATTATTTATAAGACATTCAATATATAAAAATATGTTATTGCATGTTTAATCCTTTTAGTACCGACTGAAAAAATGTACCTAAGCGTAAAATACCATTTCTGAAGACAAATTCAAATTTATAACGTCTTATAAAATTAGTTTTGAAACAGAGTTCTCTCGCGGATAGTCCGACAGCATCGTATGCGCAACGATATATTGTCGTTGGCACTTTTCGCAAGTGTTGCTAACAACAATATATCGTTGTTCGGCATTATAAGGGTTAATAAATTATAATTATTTATAGACAACATTTTTCTCATAAAACAATAACTATTTTCTTCATTTTTTACTAAAATATTAATATAAAAAGAAATAATGTAACTTAACATTTTAAGACTATTGTAATGGCATAATTCCATTACACTTGTAAATATATAAGTTTGGATTAGATAATATAAAGTATCATAGATTGTCGCGCGAAATTTACATAGAGACTTAACTAAAATGACAAGTGATTTTAAATTGCAGACGCGATTTTGAATCGTAAGTGTGGTTTTGCAACAAAGGTCCAATTGCGTATTGAACCGCATTGCGATTCAAGAAAAAGAATCGCAATATTGATGGCACTGGCTATATTAATCGTCATCAAACAATCTTCGATTGCATCATTTACTTATATCAATTGCCAATTAAACGATCTTTAATTAAACTTGCTAAGTTCAATCGTGCTAAATTCATTTAATCGACCTTCAATTAAATTTTCTAATTATTAATTAAACGATCTTCAATTTCCTTTGTTTACATCGATCGTCAATTAAACGGTCTTTAATTGAATTCGTTGAAGTTTATTGGACGGCCTTTGATTGAATCTGTTGGTCAATTGTCAATTAAACAGCCTCCAATTGAATTGGCTCATATTAATCGTCAATTAAACGATATAATTCATTAAAAAAGCAATTAATTATGCGTAAATCTGGGTCAAACTGGACTGATTGTTTGCAAAATAATAGAGGAATTTCTCGTTTGACCTAATCCACACATACATATATACGTTAAACACCCCGTGTACGTTACATTTATTTGACTTACGCTGTATTGCGCTGCGGAAACCCTAACGCCAATTCGAAGTGCAATTTTTCAGCGGCCTGTCGGATTGTCGCCCAAAAGCGCGCACACTGACGGCGATGCGTCAGACCTATCGGCGTCGAAAGTGTCACTTTCGTGTCTCATTTTTCTCCCCTTTTCAACAGAATATTCTTTATAGAGCGAAGTGGAACGACAGATATTCGCCGAAGATAAGTACATGCGATCGTACATACGGTTTCCTGTCATTTTGTGCCGAATGTAATTATGCCGTCACGTGATGTTTGTTAGTCTTTTCCCACGTCAATAAGAGCCTTTGAGCGGGACATTAAACCTAGTGGGTCATTATTGAAACGTAACTGGAGCGAGAAACGCAATCCTTCGAGAACTACATCGCTTTACGTTACGATATTTCCGCGAATTAATATCGGAATTGAAGCTCGAAACTGTTACTACTCGTAGCAGTAATAGTAATAGTTAGCAGCAGGAGTCTCGTTCGAGAAGTTCTTCCTGGGAAAATGCATCAACTTAGAGAGTCACGTCGTCAAGGTATCTATCGTTAAAATTCAAATCGATGCTCAGGCAAACACGACTTGAAAAAAGAAAACAGCGCCGGGGAGGAGAGCCCCTTCGCGGTTTGCGTCAGTCGCTTCGTTCGCGATCGTGCATAGGACGTCTCGTTAGTGTGAGAAAACATTGGCACAATAATGTCCATTTATCGGCGAGATCACGGGTGCGCACACGCACGCACACGAGCCTAAGGACGTCGTATCGCCGAAGTTATAGAAGGGTGACTCCGCCGTTATCGTTAACACTTCAGTCAATCGTCAGCGGTCTTCGGGGTAGTTTGAGACAAGGGCTCGCGACAAGGCAACGATAGGCTTTCGCGATCACGCGACGCTGTTGTCTGTATTCCTTCTTTTTTTCCCAAACGGCGATTCTTAAGGATTCTTGTAGGATTCTTGTAGTATTAAGAACAGTCATGAGCCAGCGACAACAAGGAGAATGCTTTGTAACGCTTCCTGTGACGCGATGAAAGACGGTCGGCTGGTGCGTTGAGAGGGAAAGACAGAAACGCGAATGTCAGCAATTTGCATTCTCTCGAAATTACTTCCGAACATAAGCGCGATTGAGGATTGATTGTAAATTCTCCGTTCTAAATTTTACCAATTCTTTGGCAAGAAATAAAATAAAATAAAAATAAAATAGAAAAAAAATAAAGAAAGAATAAGATACACGATGGATTGGAAGAGGGAGAGAGCGTGATTGTGAGATGGAGGATCTACATACGAATCTGGAGAACACGAAGCCAAACTTCAACCCGTGGGACGATGCGCGAATTTTGCCACACATCAGAACACACGATTTCGCGCGTCTGAAAAATTCCAACGCGGTGGACGAAATGCCGATACGAATTCGTAAACGCGACCCTGTGGATAACGCGAACGACAGTTACTATAACACTGTCGATCAAGCGCCATCCAATTACACGAAGGCCAATAATTCCTTCAACACGGTGCACCTGCAGAATCCCTACAGGCCGCCCCAACGACTGGAGGGATTCATGTCACACGATTACTCAAAGGTAAGATTACAAGTGGAAAGCGAAGATGCAACGTACAGGAACATACATGCTGCTTTACAAGTAAACGCTAGTTGTTCGAAGTATTTCATAAGTTTACGTAATCTATTATAAAAGTTCATACATCATGAGAATCGAATTTATTCAAAATCAATTTTTAGATTTACGACTGAGGATAGATATAGAGGATTCAGAACGTATTCAAATAAATTAAGTAAATTCAAATAAATAGATGAAGTCTAACAATTTTTTGTGTGAAAATTCTGAATCCCAAATCTATCCTAAATCCTGAATCTAAAAATTTATGTTGAATAAATTTGATGCTTATAATAAATTCTCATAATAGAGAAATTTGCGGATATATAAACTTCGGATTTAAATTCTGATTTAGGAAATTAAGAATTTACGTATTTCAAATAAGTTCTGAACTTACCGTAAATTTATCCTTTAAATCTTGAATCTACAAATTTACTTTGAATGATATTACATTTGATGAATTTTTGTGATAAATTTTTGCAGATAAACTTCAAATTTAGATTCAAATTTAGAATTAAGAATTTATTTCGAATAAATTCTGAATGATATAAATTTATCCTCTAAATCTTGAATGTACAAATTTATATAAATTTGACGATGATGATGAATTCTTATGATAGAGATTAGCAGATATATAAACTTATGAAATACTTGAAACAAATAATATTTGAGTACAGCGCGTTTTGTTCTGTTTTATTTATTGTGAATAAATTCTGAATGCTGGTAAGTTCAGCATTTAAATAAAATAATATATTAAATTAAAATAGAAATTTGAATTGCTTGAATAGAGTCAAATTAACTTTTCCTTCGATAAAGTTGTATAATATTTTTGTAAAGAAGATAAATTCTTCTTTTGAGCACATGATAATGAGCTTTTCTAAACATGAGTATATTATAAATATATTTAGGAGTATATTTTAAGATTATCGCCAAGAAAATATTCTTTATTGAAGATAGTCATTATTTAAGAGGAGGAAGGGGAGCGAGTAATCGCTTTTCTTAGCAATAGAATGATATTCTTCTGTGTGTATACACAGTCCTTTGTTACTTCGTTAATTTGACGTGTTTTCGAGCTCAAGATTTGTACCGGTCGCAGGATGCCTTGAGATGGAGATACAACAACAACTTCGTTACGAAGAAGGAGTCTGTCGCGAACAAGCACAGCGACAAAGAAGAGAACGACAAAGTCGGACGGTGAGCGCACGTCCGTCCTTGTGAGAGAAAATAATAATATACACTCTAAATTTCTTAGAGTGAGACTTCACTCCAAGGTAGTGAAAATTGCGCCAGTCGAAATTAGAGCGAGAGTGAGTTTCACTCCAAATGAGTGAAAACTCACTCCAAACGAGTGAGAACTCATTCCAAGTGAGCAATTTTTTCACTCGTTTGGAGTGAAGTTCTCGCTCTAACTTCGACTGGCGCAATTTTCACTACTTTGGAGTGAAGTCTCACTCCAAGAAATTTAGAATGTAGCAAAATAAAATATTAAAGACAAAAATAAACGAGAGAAAAGGAGAAAGAGAATAACGTGTCTCTTTGCCTAATTAGGTCGAAGAAGAGGAAGCATCCAGCGTGCTCCGAGCTGGCCGAGCTTGCTAGACAGTATTGCGCGAACAGCACCCTTCACGGCTTGCGTTACGTCGGCGATACGGGATTGTCAGCCGTCGAGAGGTAAAGCTCGCACAAAAATACGTACGATACGCATTGTGAGATGCGTTTCTCTCCCGATCAAAAATCAAATGCGCGACGTATATTTTCGTAGAATATTCTGGGCAGTCTCCTTCACCACCGCCCTGATAATAGCGGTATACTACATCGTTTATCTCTATCAGAGGTGGAACGGGGCGCCGATAATTATTTCTCTGAGTCCCGAGCCGGTAGCCCTCGACGAAATTCCGTTTCCCGCCGTAACGATATGCAACATGAACCACGCCAAGAAGACGGAGGCGAAACGGATCGAAGAAGGGTAGAGTGTACATTTATCACCGTCGTGTGTCTACGAAACGAGTGATTTTTCCTGCTGCGATTTCTTTCGCAGGTCCGACATGACAAAGAAATTAATGCTGTCCGATATCTGCGATGCGGAAAGCAACACAACTTTTTACGAAGAGCACGATCTAATAGACTTCGACACGATGCTGCAATTTATGATTAATGTACGTTGTACAGTAGATTAAGTATGTTTGTGTGTATCAAAGTTAATTGAGGTGACTACGCAGATTTTACTCGACTGTACACCCAAAGAAATATATCATTCTTAGCGAGATCTGATGTTGTGGCCTCAAAAATATTCTTCTAAAACCACAAAAAGAGAATATTTTAACACCCAAAAAGAAAAAAAATAACTCTAGTTGCAAAATATTATTTGTTGTAATCCTCATTTCCAAAACGAGCATTTTTATCGAAGGAGCATCCCTTGTCTAAGAAGAGGAACAATATAGTTACAGTAAAAGAAAAGATATCTACAAAATAAAAAAACATTTATATTCCTGATAATATATTTACTTAAATCTAAATTCTTTTATTTAAATAGAATAAACAATTGCTTTTGTAAACAGATTTTAAGAAAATATATCTTTTCTTATCTGAAAAATATTTCATATTACATAGAAAAAAATATAATCTCTATTTAAAACTAATATACTCAAATTAACGATCATTGTTTCGTATATAAACAATGACATATAATTTTGTTAAAATTTTAAAGTCTTGAATTTCGATAGTGTTATTATTTGAATATTATAATACTTTAATAAGAAGTATAATATGATTATTTTGATGATAATAATATCTTCTAACATTAAAAAAAACATTCTCAAACCAATATTTTGTGCTTTTTATTCAGGAAAACGATTTTTTTTAAATAATAGGAATACATTTTTCTCTGTGTTGAATCATATAAATTATATTCATGTAAGAGTAATTTATCTTCATTTCAACGTTATGTAATCTCTCATTTAAAAATTACTATGTCAAAAATGTAAAGATATTTTCAAAAAAAAATATATAAAAATACATTAAAAAAATGTTTTTTTTAATGTTAAAAGATATTATTATCATCGAAATAATCATATTATACTTCTTATTAGAGTATTATAATATTCAAATAATAACACTATCGAAATTCAAGACTTTAAAATTTTAACAAAATTATATGTCATTGTTTATATACGAAACAATGATCGTTAATTTGAGTATATTAGTTTTATTTCATAGTTTTTTTTATGTGTAGTACAAGTAAATATGTTATTAGTGCTTGCCGAATAAATATTTTTTTATCTCCTAGATACTTTTCTCACGATGTAGAATATTTTCCTTTTGGCTTTAGAAGAATATTCTTAAGACCACATATATATGATGATTCTACTAAGGATAAGATCATATTTTTTCGGATATATAGAGTAAAATTACCTTCTTCGACTAAATTCGACGAATTGAAATAATTTGGTATCTTAGCTCCCTCATTATCTCCTTCTTTCATTTTCCGTTTTTATTTCTTCTCCTCCTATTTCTTTTCATCTTCTTTTCTCTTTTCTGTTTCAGATATCTCAGCCATGCACGGACATGTTGTACTTTTGCAAGTGGCACAATATGCGAATAGATTGCAAGGATATCTTCAACCCTACCATGACCGACGAGGGTATCTGTTGCAATTTCAACGGGGTGCAGAGGGAGTTCCTCTTTCACAAAGCGTGAGTGAAAATAAAATTATCCGGTTAGGGTAGCGTTTCGTTTTGATCGTTCGACATCACGACAATGGAGATACTGGTCGCGCGACTGGAATTCTAGCTCGCGAAATTTAAATCGACAATTCGAATTGGTCGATGGTTTGGTTTTACGCTGAATTTGCACTTCAGACGCGACTGGCCCGCCCTGAACATAACGTACATGTCGCCCGGCGTCGACTGGAACGCCGAGAACGGATACAACAGCAGCGGTTCGGTGGATGTTATTCCATGGAGACCGTATGGCGCCGGGAAATATTACGGCCTGTCGTTGGCTCTCGACGTGGACACGGATGAATATTTCTGCTCGAGTACCGCCAGCGCGGGCTTCAAGGTACGCCATCTCCCGCCACGGAGATCCCTCTCTTCTAGTGCTGACAATGCAAGTCGGATAGTTTCTATACTCGAGCACCTGGATATTAAGAGAGACCGGAGCTAGATGCCCTGTATTTTAGAATTTCGAAGTTACAACCTCTCTAATTGTTACGACTGACTGGATGATAGAGATAACCTTCTTCTATGTATTAATGCCCGCCTGTTAATTGTATATTTTTCATAATAACCAAAATACGAACATACAGCAACAGAGCCATCTTGCCCTGATACCGGATTCAGTTGTCCAGTAGCGCAGAGTAAAGAAGACTACATATAAAATATGTATTGTGATTAGTAGTTGCAGAATCTCCGGGAGAAGTCTCCTATCGACCTTCAATTATGGGCCAACTTTACCTCGTCCGCCCGTATGCTCCATTTCAATCATCTTATGAATAAAAATTGTATTTATTACCAGAAACAGTATGTCATGCATTACAAAGAATTCCATTCTAGCTAGTAACACATTGCTTAATTTTATTCAGTCGTAATGGAGAATATTAATATAAAATTTCGAGAAACTCGAAAATTTACTTTGCTATTACAAGTCAATTTTTTCTATAGCTGTAATATTATTCCAATTTTAATGAAACTCAGAGAAAAGTATTTATATTCTAAGAGGACCATTTCGCGATTTTGCACCTTCTCTCAAAATAAGTATTAAAAAAAGCACATGAGCAATTCCTGAGGCCATATAATTCTAGTCTTCTCTATTCGGGTAGAAGCGCATGATTATTACTCCAGATAAGAAAATTACTCGTGACTAATCTTGTTTTTGTAGAAGCTATATATAGCTCGATGTAAAATTTACATATGAAGAATGTTTACTTCTTTAGATTGAACGAGTTGTCGCGAAACACGTCGATGATAGTTACTTCTTACAAATTTGAAAAAATTTCACGGCCTTCAGAAAAATTTTCCAAAACAAATGCGACCGTCAAAATATGAAGAACAGGCCTGCGAGTAATTAATTACTTTTTTATTTAATTATCATATATATACACTCACGCGCGCGCGCGTTTTTTCACTCGAAATTTTGTATTAATTTTCCAAACATTTTCAACATTCACGAATATACGCACATATGTATCCATTACATATAAAAGACATCAGATTATCTGAAAGACATTCAGATTCTATGACTTCGGAGCTCCATATTTCTTCAGCCTTTGATTTTACGTGTTTGTGACAATTTGTTCAGAATTATAAAAACTATAATATATTTCAGAACAGAGTAGTTTGTGTCTGGGGTTACTTTTCCGTAAGAAATGTACGGGATTTTTTGATTAAAGGTTGTTTAATTGACGATAGCGAATCAAAACAGCATATATTCATATAAGATCTATGTATATGTGTAAGAAATATGTAAACGATAGCATGATTGTATTAGTATTTATCTGACATGGCGTTTTAATGATCCGCGTTATCGGCATTTTTTTCATCATCCACTTTGGTATCCCCTTAAGGATAAAGTGCGACCAGTTCGCTTCGCTTTTCGCGAAGCTCGACGGAGCATGACGATGCTGAAAAGACATGTCGACGATCTTACAGATGCTGCTTCACAATCCCGTGGAGACACCGAAGATCGCCGACTTCTCTTTCTCAATCATGCCGGGCGAAGAAACCCGCGTGATCGTGAAACCGCGGATATCAACGGCCAAGAAAAGTATCATCTCCATACCGAAGACGAAGCGAAAGTGCTTCTTCACGACCGAGAGGAAGCTGCGTTATTATCGGACTTACACGCAGAGGAACTGCCTTTTGGAATGCGAGGCGAACTTCACGCAAAAGATCTGCTCCTGTGTCCAGTACTATATGCCAAGTAATTGCAATTGGTAGACTTCATTTCGTTGAAGGAGCCAGTGAAGTTTTGTTGCACGCGAATAGTGCTGTCAACATTCGTACTTGAATATCTGATTATTGTGAAAGTTACCCGGCTACTCTCGTATCGTGATTAATGTATAGTCACTTGTAAACCGACATTTGTATACTGTTTGTCGAATGAAGTTGCAGCGCCTCAAGTTTGGTCAAAGTTGAAAGTCATTATTGACGTGTATGCGTAATCAATTGTGACAATGCAGAGTGCGACATTTGTGAAATTTAAAAAGAAGAGAATTCATCTATAACATATAAAAGCACATTGCTTTGAGAAGTAACTTTTATGTATTTATAATCGATTATATTGCGCATACACGTCAGCAGTGGCTTTCAATTCTGACGACACTTTGCGTTGCAACTTCATCCAATAAAAAGTGTGCAAATCGATTTGCAACCGACTATATTTATACAATGTATCCTCAATACGATTTAAATACTTTCTTCTCGATATAATTTATGATTTTTACTATTAAACTCTATAAATGGTGTAATACTATAAATTTTTTAGAGAGAAATTTCGCTCGAGAAATAGAGTGACCAACGAGTTACCTCAAATTGGAGTGATTTTTCACTCATACAGAATAAATTCTTCACTTTAAATCTTCACTCGAAATTGAAGAAATTGGTGTGCTCCACCGTCACACATTCACTCTAATCGCCTGGATATTCGGTCACATACACACACATATGAAGTCAGAATCTACTTTCTAAATTTCTTGGGATGAAAATCTTACTCGAAAGATGGAGTAACAGCCGAGACATTCGAATTAGAGAGACTTCTCATTCTTATACAATGAATTCCTTCACTCTATATCGTGGAGTAAATTTTCGCTTGACAAATGGAATGACGACCGTCACTCGAATTAGAGTGACTTTTCACTCGTATGGAATGAATTTTTAACTCGTGATAGAGTGAATGATTTGGAAACAATTCATGTATCATTATAACAGTCATTCCAATCAGTTAATAGCAGTGGCTCAGCAGGTACGAAGTAGGACTCAAGAGCCAGAGATCTCAGGTTCTCAAATCTCATTATAATCAGCAAATTTTTCCAAGCTTATTATAAATGGAATTAACTAAATAGTACCATTAAAAAGACTATGCAATAATTCAGACGCAAACAGGATAGAACTAAAGATCTTCCTTTTTACCTAATTATAAAAATTCACTCTACTTGGAGTGAAATCTAGTTTTCACTCTAGTTGGAGTAAAATATTTACTCTTATGAAAAATGAGATGTCATTCCATTTAGAGTATTTTAACTATCGCTTGGAGTGAAGATCCACTTGTTTAGAATGAAACTTCACTCCAAGAAATTTAGAGAATATTTTAAGCTCAAGTGAAACATTCATTCTTGCGATTTCGAGTGGTAGTATTTTCATTGTTGCTGCGGATGAAAATATAGCCATTTTTCACTCATTTTGAGCGCGATTGCGCTTCAATAAATTCAGAGAAATTTAGGAAAGTCCATCATCGAGAGTTTCTGATCATGTCGATACGTTACAACCGTTCGCTCTCCAATGGTAATGTTGCCTTGCAGAATCGTCGAACACTCAGATTTGCGGTAAAAAGGACGAGCAATGCGCTGTGAATGCGAGGCGAGCCATGGAGACGAAGCTCTACGACGAGGACACGGCTAATTCGTTAAACGTCACGGAGACGTGAGTTCACAGCCCTGAAATTTCTTTCCCATTCCCGGAAATAAAGGGGGAAGCATAATTCGAGCTTTCATCTGTCGTAGACCGAGCTGCAACTGCTGGCCGGCTTGTTTCGAGATCAATTACAAAGCGGAGCTTTCGCAGAGCAAATTGATGTCGATTGTCGGCAACGAAAAATCGTACATAAAGAAGAACGCGAATTATTTCACGTAATTAAGTTTTACTTAACGCGCGAGGAACGCGCACCACACTGAATAATTCGTTGACGCGAATAAAAGAGTGCAACAGGTTTCACATCCCGCGCGATATACAAGGTGTCCCGGAGTGAATTAATGATTATTATCGCGGACTTTTACACAGCTCGGGCAGTCAATGAAAATTTTCATTGACTAAAATAATCGGCAAATCAATCGTTAAAATTGAACAATCAAGTGACACATGTAAGTGACACACGAATCATTTAATCGTGATCGATGAAATTAATTGTTAATCAGTATATGATCAATTACATCACAATTCGATGAATGATTAATTATACCAATCGATGGAATTATGATTTTACATATGGCGATGGATTAATTTGGATCATTGATTTGCCAATTATTTTAGTCAAACAAATTTTTATTGGTTAATATCCCACACTGTTTTTATCCCATATTGAGACTTGGATCTGTAAATTTATTTAATGTTGATTATCAGAAATCTATAGTCAATTTGGACATTCCTTGAGAATTTTCTCGACAAAGAAAATCGTCCATATTCAAAAAGATATAATCTTATTATTAGCGATTTCTTATACGTGGGTTCAAGAGAATTTCTCCAAAATCAAAAGGAAAATGTTCTAACACTCAAAAAAAGAACTACAGTTGTAAGAAGCTATTTCCCATATTCTAAACGAAAATTTTTACCGAAAAAGTATTTTTCTTCTATATTGAAATAATCTATAAATCAGAAATCTACTAGATATTATTCTAACTTTTTTCCTTTTTAATTAAGAAAAACATATTTACTTGAACAAAAATACCTTCTTACTAGAAGAAATTTCTATTAAGAACAAAATTTATACTGCAGATAAAAACTAAATTTTCCTAACTTTATAAATATCGTGCTTACAATATTTCCCTCTCGTTTTTAGAAGAAATCTCTTGAGCCCACGTATGTATAAAAGGATATCCTCTAAGAATAAGACTATATCTTTCTGTGTAGAAACGGATAGAAATGTATATACTAAAATATATACTAAAATCTCCTTTCAAAAAATGTATTAAATTTTTAAGATTGGAATCAATCTCTTGCGGATAGCTTATCGTGACACTTTTATTACGAATTGGATATTTAAACCCATATCTGAGCTCTCTTTTATTGCTAAAAGCGTCTCTAAAGGTGGTTCATAGCCAATCGGAAGGCTTATGGGCGACCTTAAACTCGGCTCATCACTTTTGTCTTTTGACCTTAACTTACACCTTCTCGTTTATCTTCGGCAATTTCCGAATATAGGAAGAACATGGCGATGATCCACATATTCTTCGTGGATTCTCAGTTCACCAAATACGTGAAAACTGAACTCTTTGGATTCACCGAATTTCTGTGTAAGTAGTCGATCGCACTGCAGCGATTATTGTTGCCGAACAATGTTGCATGATCGCGTTGATTTACCGTAGCGAGCACGGGTGGCTTGCTGGGTCTCTTCTTGGGCTTCAGCTTCCTGTCGTTTATGGAGATCGTATATTTCGCGACTATGCGACTGTGGTGTCGCCTGTACCGCCAACGGGCGTCGTCGAAGCCCACCGCGCTTCAAACACACCCGTTAGATCACAGGAAGAAGATGATTTACCCGTTCGCGAACTGAGTTCGTCTCTTGAGGTATAAATGCGATGTAAATAGCTGCTCATAAGCGTACGATTATCGGAAAACATATACGCATACATCGTGTAGTGCTTTATAATATAGTGCTTTATGAATAAATTATAATTAAGTGAAAACGAGTGACTATTTCTTTGTTTCTGGACCCTAAAAGCATTTCTCCGAGGAAGCTGTGCGTGTTGTTTTCGCGATTTCGAGGAAACGGCTTAATTATCCCAACAGCGCAAGATATCCAAAAACTATCCAGAAAATGTTTGGCATAAGCACATCCACGACGATCTCAGGATATTTTGTGCCATATTTGAGTATTGTCCACAATTATTGGGGATAAACTCCACAATTATTCTCTCGGTACATATAGAAAAATGCATACTGCATTTAAATAAATGTTACTTGTCTCAAATATTCCATAAGTTTATATATCCGTAAGTTTATTGCAGATTTATATTAATTCATATTATTATATTAATAATAAAGCTATCATAACTATTAAATTTATTTAGAATACATTCTGTATTCTAGCAAGTTTAGCATTTCAATCGAAAATATTAAATTAAAATAAAAATTTGTAGTTTGTTTATTATTAAGCTTTTTCTTTGACAAAGTTTCTTCTTGTTTGGTAATTAAATCACCATGAAGGCATATCACCATGTTTTCAGCCTTTTCCGAGGATATTTGCGATTATTTGATACGCTGTCCTCTTTTTTCCTTTTCCTATAAGCGTTTTGATCCTGCTTATTAATTCATTTTTAAATCTGTATGTTTATTTTCTTTAAGAACTGAAATATAATAAATAATATTTCCCACTTTCTTTTGTGTATAATTTTTTTCTATATGCAAAATGATTCTTTTTCCTTTTCCTTCTATTTTCCTAAACATGAATTCTCTTTCTTCCTCATATTTTCTCCAATTATACAATACAATTTATATATTCTCTTTCTGCGTCACAGTCACATTTTTCTGTATCAATTATTTCTTTCCTTCCCAAGGATTTGTTCAAATTATGAGTAGTTGTAATTCTATTCATCATAGTACTAAATCCTCTTACATCACTTCTTATCTTGATTTTCTTTATTATATCTTTACTATATCGTCTGCAAATTGCAATACTTATATTTCTTCTTTCTTATTTGTCATTAAATCCTTTGTGTATATACTGCATATAGTAACGGACTTAATATTGTTCCTTGTAGTAATCCTTAGTAAACTATTCTTTTTTCTTCTTCCTCTTCTCTTATTATAAATTTAACTCTTCTCCATCCTATCCAGTATAAAGTTATATACTTTATAATCCTTATTGGACAATTTTCCTTTGCTAGCTTCTCTACTAATATATCGCTTTTTACATAATCATACGCCAAGGACACATACAAGAACGCCGCCAGGACAATTTTATCTTTAAAACTATTTTTAATATCTGTACTATTTCCACTAAGAGTTACTCCTTTACCCTTTCTGAATTCATTTTCAAAGCCATCCAATATTCTTTTTTTTAGTCCATCAGTTCATCCTTTCATTAATTATCTTTTCCATTATCTTTTCCATTATCTTTCCCATTCATATTTCAATTTCCTTTTCCCCTACTGTCCTCCTTTTTGCCATTATTACTATTCTTGCTTTCTCCTCTTTTCCTTCTAGTATGTCCCTCTTTTTTGACATAAAACTTTCAAAATATTCTTCTGAATATTCTTTCTCTTATTTATTACTTCATTTATTCCTAATTACAATGTCTGACCGCTTTGTCCTCTTCTTTCCTCGCATTTAGTGTATATTAGGTCATTAAATATAAAATGTCCGATTTCGAATAAAAAGTTTGGTTTATTATATCTTAAACAAGAAACAGTATAATTAATTACAGTACGCGTCTAAACTATCGACACAGTTTTGACATCTTAACGGTAACTTGTTTATGTCGGCAGCGAAGAAGCCTGGAGACCAAGTGGCGATGAAATTGCAAAAAGTGTTTTTGAGAATAGCTTGTTGAGAATTGAATGTTTTTCCTTGCATTGGTTGAATGCCTGGAAGAAGTAGTAGTTAGTATAAGGTCTGGTGGAGTATGATGGGTGACAGAGTTTCCAAGCTTAGCTCCTGTAGTTTGAACAGTGTTGTGTAACATGTGGTTGAGCGTTGTCTTGCAAGCGGATTGAGCTGTCTATTGACCAATCTCGGCTGCTTAATCGCAAGCTTCTCCCTCATCATTTCGTTTAATTGGTTGCAATAGACATCTGCTGTAATCGATTGACCAGGTTTCATGAAGCTGTAGTAGATAAATCCTGTGCTGGATAAATAAGTGTTGGACCACCAAATAGACACCATTAGCTTTTTTTTTGGTGAATTTGAATTGTATTCAGCATTTCATCTTTACCCAAACATTATGCCGAGAGAACGCTTGCGATTGTTAAAAAAATCTATTTTTCATCACACATAATAATACGATGTATAAATGGTTCGCCTTATGCCGTAATAGCAAAGAAAGGCAATTCAATATGATTTCTTTTTTGATGCTCGTTTAATTCAAATGGAACTCATCTATCTAGCTTCTTTACCTTGCCGATTTGTTTCAAATAATTCAATATTGATGGAATAGTAACGTCAAACTTTGGTTGATTAACACGTAGTTTGAGATGTATCCACTTCTGCTACAGCTTTTAGCTCATAATTATCCACTTTGGTTTCAGGTCATCTATGTGGCTCATGTGACTATGTTGGCTCAAAATTAAAATCGCTAGAACGGAACTTCTCAAACCATCGGTATACTATAAGTTCATTAGCCATACTCTCGCTATACCTTCACCAAATACTTCGTTGATGTTTCAAGCTGTCTGCGCTGCATTGGATCCACGACGGAATTCATATTCAAAAATAACACGAATGTTTTACTTATCCATGGTTTTAAACAAATTGCTGTAAAAAAATACGATAGATAATAAAAAATCAAAACATGCGTTTAAAAGAATGATATACTTAAAAAAAAAAGAACTACCAAAGTGAAATGTCAGAGATATAGATTGTCAAATTTAATACTTAAGAAAATCGGATATTTCATATTTAATGAATACAAGCTACAGAGATTTTTCGCATCAGGCGAATATTTACTTCAACCGATATTGTTTCACAGACTAATTTACACCTGAAATGTTAACTTTTTTATCGTTTCTGTCATACATTGAAAAATGTTTTGATTCATCTCGCATGTATTTTTGTCGTGTATGAGCACTTGTAATTTTGCAAAGCCAATACAACGTAAACTTCGCAGAAAAGTTAGCGTTTTGCTGATAAAGATATCGATTTCAGCATAGAGATATATGAAATTATAATGTATGCGATATATGAAATTGTGTATCGCGATATATAATTGTGTATCATAATTTTATATCGCAAATATGATTTTAAACTGCGCGCAATTTTGTATATCAAATGCGATTTTTAATCATAAAGGAACTTGAGGCTTGAATGATGGAAACTGTAATGTTTAAATAAATATTAAACACATTAAAAATAAATAAATCAACTCTCTCTTTCTACTGCATCAAAATATTCTTTGAAATGTCCACTATAAGAAACCATAAATTTTACTGCAAAACAATAATTAAAAATGAAAGCATGATAAAGTTAAATGATGTTTTCGTAAAAATATCACTTAATAATCTCATTATGCTTTCTACGCGGGGCAAAATGGAAGACTTATTTATTTTCGAATCATTAATTTTCAAACGTTTTTAAAAGTGACTTATTAAGACATGCAATATATAAGAATATGTTATTGCACATTTAATTAATTATAATTATTTATTAACAATATTTGTTTCATAAAACAATAAGACTACTTTTTTCATTAGCTTTTTTTACTAAAATATTAATGACAATCAATATTGAGTGTGTAGCAATCTTTGATAATCTTCTGAAATCTCTTATATATTATCTATATATAAAAATATATATAAATATCATATATAAAAAGAAATAATGCAACATTTTAAGGCTGTTATAATGACATAATTCTATTAAAATCTCTAATGTATTTAAATGTATTTGAATTAGATAGTATAAAGTATTATATATTTTCGCGTGATATTTGCACAGATACTTAATTAAAATAATGAGTGATTTTTGATTGCAGGCGCGATTTTACGATAAAGATCCAGTTGCATGTTACATTGCGATTTAAGAAAAGAAAATCGAAATGCCTGCGATATATCGCACATTCCTACTCCAGCACCTCCTTAACGTAAACATGCGATCACAGAGGGTGCGTTCGGGGAGCATGCTACCAACGCTACCACGTTCTTTTATCTTTATTACTTTTTACATATATAACAAGGACAGAATGACACGGTAGCGCTAAATAGCGCTAATAGCGAGCTGCCCGAACGCACCTTGACTGCGTACATTTATCTGGAGGAAAGTAGTGTAATGTTAACAGCGTAATATTACTAGACATTTTTGGCATTCAACTTTCCTATTCTGGAAAATTCACGTAAGATTTATTCAAGAGAGAAAATTCAAGAGAGAAAATTCATTTGATATCGCGTGGAAGTATTTTAGCCAAAACTGGTGACAATAGCGCGTGGGTGGTTTTCGGAAGTTTATCAGAGAGAAAGATCCCAGTTCAGCGAAAATAGCATATCAGTTCTCAACAAGGAAGTGTCTATACGTCGCGCGCGCTGTCCCGTCGAATGAACGCCTTTCTTCATGAAATCGCGTTACGAAGTTGCACGTGTCACGTTTCTCAGCGCGCACGCGATCGCGGTCACGTCGATACCTGATGTAACCTCGGTGTTCGTTTTCCGAAGCTTCAGGCATGGGCGAAACAACAGTCATCTCTGTATTGTCACGAGTGAGCACAGAGGCTGTGATTGTGTTGAGCCATGTTACGGGCATTTGAATTGAATCACGACGTTGCGCCGGTCTCACGTTCGATTGACGAAGTCGCGAGGCTCTCGCCGACGAAGAAGCCGGACCTCCCGACCGAGTCGTAAGCGCGGCTGCAACTGTCATCGCGCCCGAAAATGCGGAGAAGTCGGAAGTCTGTGTTAGCACACGATTGCACATGCACGCATGCATACATATATATTGGGCAAGCTAGAGAGGGATTCCTCGTCGTCGTTTTCGCGAACCTTCGCCCCGTTGTTCGTCACGCTTCGCGGTTACCTTGCTCTCGTCTCGACGTGCGACTCTCAGCAATGGTTGGACGACGCTCGGTTGAACATCGCGGTGAGATCAGCGTCGGGAATTCTTTCAGGAGATCGCGACGCGGAAGTCGAAACCGTGCTGGATCCGGAGCAGAAACTAAACACGGGCCGACACTCGCAACGACGCCATGACAGCTGACGACGGCTGCCGCCACGGCGGCGTGGCGCTCGCGCGCTCAAACGACTGCGCTCACGCCGGCCGTACGGCGCGACTTTCAAAACGCGCTGGCGCGCTTTGATCGACTTGGGAGAAATTCGAGTGATTCGAGGAGAAAATCTGAGAGATTTTGGGACAAACAAAAATCGACGGACTGTAGCACGCAGAGTCGACGCGTACTATTCGAGGTAATAAGTCTCTTAAACGCGTGGAGATTGTAATATTGTTTCAAAGGAATTCAAGACTGGATTGTTATATTCGGAAGAATTCAGCGCTGCACAGCGAGAAATACGCTGCAGATATGATTAAAGGAAAAACGTAACTTTCGAAACAAATCGACTCGACATTAACAGAAATTAATTTAAGGTATCCCCCTGTCTCAAAAATAATAAAAATGTTTTGGAAATATTAGAGATTAATCTACATTCTATAAAAGCGATCACAAACAATTTAACATTAATTCAGGGTTTGGATCAAAAGTTATTTACTAGACAACATAGACTTTCCAAGAAACGTCTACAAGACGTCCCTTGGAGGATTTGTATTGTCTGGGTTTCTTCTGAAGTATAAGCTCAGCAAATAGGATAACACGTTTCTAACATTAATACGTCACTTGACGCCATTCTGCTATTTAGGACTATTTTAAGGCTATTATGAAAATATATGTCTTTATAATAAAGAAAAAAAATAATTAAAAAATAATTACAGGAATCTTTATTTATATATTTATGTACTTTAAATATTTAAAATAATATATGCAAAGTTTCATATTATTTTGAGTCGCGCTGTTATGAAAATATATATTATTTTTCATAAACAAAAAGATGATTAAAAAATAATTACAGGAATCTTGATTTTTGTAGTCATATACTTTAAATATTCAAAATGGTTGTGTGTAAAGTTTCATAGTGGTTCAGAAATAAAAATTGAATAATTGAAAGTAACATAACATAAAGTAAATAAATCATAAAAATATGATGTTAAAGTAAAAATATATTGTTATTCAATTGTATTATACATATATATACCATGTTTTTATAAGAAAAATAGAATTACTAATATTTTATTTCTAATTTTTAGTTACTTTTTTTTGTAAGAACTATATGGACAATGTAATCTTAATAGAAATCGACTCATTCAGAAATAGCAATTATCTTTTAAATTTTCGATAGAAAATTCAAATTAACAGAGGTCATCTTGCTTGTGTACATCGCAAAATATATTACTGTAAATAAAAAGAAAATTGCAATCATAAACTTCGTCTAATATTGTCCTTTGGACATAATGGCATTAAGAAGAAGTTTCTAGGTGTATTACGCGATATTCTGATACAAATAATCTGCAAAATTAAGGAAATCCAAAACTCGATTATTCATGATCGTACACTCCCCTTATAGAAATTTAATACTGATAAGTGATAATTTGGCCAGTGATAATTACTGTCGTTCAATAATTTTATTACTCGTACGAGTAATAAAATTACTATTTATTACTGGCCAATTTATCACAACCAGTGATACTTTTCTATAAGGGGATCGCTCTCAGAGAGATTGTCATCAGGCCTTCATCTGTGAGTTTAAAAACGTATCTGTAAACGTAGCAATTTTGGGGCAACGTAGCAATTTTCTCAATGGTGAAATCTACTTTCCGTTAGGAGAATTTTCCCATTAGACAGGACGGACACGTTCCTCAACTCACAAACAAAATCCCAGCTACCTTTCTGAGAGCGAATGTTTCTCGCAGTACGCCCAAGTTCGAACGGCGGGTCTGGTAATGAAGTGATAAGCTTGCACAACGGTTATTGTGTGGCCTTTCGAAATCTACAAAGTTTTATCTTTCCATAATCAATGTATAAAATAACATATTTATGTTTCTTTCTTGGCTCGCATGCACTCCACGCGCCCACGCAGGCAAGCACGCACACATACACACGCGCAAATACACACGCACACACACGCACAAACGCACGCACACACACACATACACACGACGAAAATAAAATTCACCCAGGAGTTCTTCAAAAATGAAAATGTCCGTCGGACATCATTTATTATTTTATACCTAAGGTCTGATATAATCGTGCGCTAGTTTTTTTTTTCCTTTTAATCGGTACGGTTGCTCGTTTATCTAGGCGATAGTCAAGTATGATACACGTTACATTCAAAATTATCATTCTAGTTATATTGACAGCAGACTAATCTAACGTGACATTCTCACCTTACGCGACTTCCTCGTTTTAAATCGCCCATCCCGCCCCTTCCCCTTCCCGACCGCCCGCCCTCCTCATAGAAAATACGGCGTATATATCTACACACGAGTAAGTTTTCTCGGCGATGGCCGCTCATGCACTCTCGGTGTGACCCGCGGCGGGGACTCTTGAATTATACGCGCGACGGAATTAATTATTATATTTACAGACAAAGAAGATAATTGTCTCGCTGCTTCCACGAGAAGTCGCGTAATCGGGGACACACACGAAGGACGAGACTCAGCGAACACAAAGTAATTTAAGTTGCATAACTGTTAGCTATAATTTCCCACTCAACAATGTAGTAACTGTTAAACTTGATCTACAATGTGTCTTTGCTTCCTATTTTTTTTTCTTCTTCCTAATTCAAACCTTAATTCTTAAGTCTGATCTACAATATACTCTTTGCTTCCTGCTTCTTTCTCCTTATCTCTTTCTGACTCAAACCTTAAGCTTTAAACCAGAAAAAGACAGAAGACAAGAAACAGAACGCAAAGAGCATATTGTAGATCAAGCTTTAAGCTTGACCTACAATGTGTTCTTTGTTTTCTGTTTCTTGTTATCTATCTTTTTTTGGCTTACAGCATAAGATGTAAGTCAAAAACAGTTGAAGAAAGAAACAAGAAGCAAAGAGCACATTGTAGATTTTAGCTTTACACAACACACAGATATTGTATTTACATCGTTGAGTAGGAAATTATAACTATAACAGTTATGTAATTATTACTCGATGTTAGTGCTGGAGAATGAAACTTGTCCGACATTGATAAAATGACAAATTATCCCCCTCTCCCTTCGAGAGTCCGCATCCGTTTTAATTTTTGAGCAAATTCCTCCGGACGCATATTGCATATGGAGTGCTCGTCGTTGGATGGTCACGACCTCGACGACTCCTTGCACCCATTGGTTTCTGTGTCGTTACACTCCTCCGCGGATAATCAAGAGTCCGCACACCGAGTCCCGGATTCCACTCGCGTGCGTGATGAACGGAACAGCTGACAGAGAATGAAATAAGGGCGAACACGTATAATCCCAAAAAAAATAGCGAAATTCAACAAGTGAGACAACGTCTCGAATAGGAGCTGTTCGTTTCCGAAGAAATTCCGAATTGGTACACAGTAGTGTGCGATAAGTTGCAAAGTGAAAGAGAGTATACTTACTTCACTCCAATTTATCGCAGAAATCTTCGAAAATAAGCGGACATTGTAACTTCACTCATTTTTAAAGGCTTCTGCACTGACTTATTGCACACTGACTTACAAGTTCTTCGAAAACGAGCAAATTTACTATCCCGAAAACTGAATACAGTGACAACTCCCGAGAAATATTGAAAGCATGAAGTTGTAAACTTGTCATATTATTTTGTGGGACAACTTTGGGTTTTCAATGTTTTTCAGGAGTTGTTCCCGTACTCAGTTTTCGGGATAATGGCATTTGGTTTGTTCCTTTTCGAAAAAAACTAGTTCTAAATTAGTGTATACTAGTGCAATAAGTTAGAGTGAAAGAAAATATATTCGTTCCACTCTAACTTGCTGCATTAGTTCAGAAATTCTTCGAAAACGGACAGATGGTTCTAATATCTCGAAAAAAATGTATTTCGACACTCTGAGAAAAATGCTTAAAAATATATTTGTGAGATATAATGTTAATTTTTGCAAAATGAAGTTCATTTTTGTTCATTTCTGCGAATAAACTTTCTACTTTTATGTCTCACAAGTGGATTTCCAAGTAGTTTCCCACACAGCAAGAATGTCCCAAATACATCATAAGGATATCTTGAAGATATTACATATCCCAAATATATCTTTAGGATATCTCTATGATATATTTTGGATACCTTTGCTATGTGGGTTGTTTCTTTTAGTATATATTGTGCCGATATTCGGTTCTCGGGATCTTACCCCACTTTTCAAATTTTGGAATTATGCATGTCCATCGAAACGAGAGAACTCAACGCGAATTATGTTGCCAGTAAAAAAATTATTTGGAAGTTTATTGGTGGGATATAGTTTACTTATACAGAAGTATCTCACAAATAAATTTCCCAATATTTCTCCTCAGTGTGAAAACTCGCGGTGGCTGGATCGAGGAAATAACAAAAATATAGACAAAGAAAGAGAGAGAGAGAGAGAGAGAGAGAGAGAGAGAGATAAAAAGAGAGAGAGAGAGACAATGAGAGAAGACGGTTCAACTTACGCATTAAAAATTAACGCATTATAGATACACTCTTTCGTACATCGTCGTCTTATATGGTACAAAGTAGTCGAATTTAATGATCCGAGTAAAAGGGGCTAAAAAGAAGACGTGGAATTCAGCATTCCCATAAAACTATAACGGTACCAATAGCGCGACAGGTGATCGCGATGACGTCCCGACGAAACTAACGGCCCGTTTCCTTTCCTTTCCCTCCTTCCTTCCTTCGTTTCGTTCGCGAGGACACGCGGATATCTCGCGACGGTGAATATTGTACAATGATAGAAACCGACTCGCGTCGCCCCGGAATCCTTTTCGGGGCTTGTGAGCCGCTCTCCGCAACGCGTCGCGGACGAACTTAGGGAGAACCGCGCGTTCGTTCCGTTTTTTTTTTCTTTTCTCTTCCGGGGAGAGCAGGTCTCCTTAGTCTCCTTACATTACGAGAGAGAGAGGCCATTTCGTTACTTCGTCGCTCGACAAGCAGCGATATATCCCTACACACATGGTCGCTCCCGCGCCAAGGCTGTCGCCTTTCTCACTCACTCGTCCACCAGCACAATCGTAAGCGACGAAGAACAGATCGTTTAGCGACGGAAACGATCTATTAGGAACGTGGTTTATTATAAAAAATCGCTACGATCGTCGTTAAACGTCGGCGTCTCCGGAGAGAGCCGATTACAAATGAATCCGCACGCTGTGTATGACCTCCTTCCTCCTCTTCCTCCTTCGAAATATCGTGACAATTGCGCGAGAGACCGATGGTTGGCTCGATTTGTCGTCGTTGTCGCACCAAAATCGAAATCCCGGAAATGTACACGGAAAAAATAGCAGTACGATTAGCCCACACACAAACCCAGTAGTGTCAATCAGACTCGACAGTAACATACGGAACGGATCGTGTGGTTACTGCAACTGCAGAGCAATCGCCGAATTACAGTTAGTGACGATATCTGGTCGCTCCAATCGGAGTGTGTCTGTCTGTTGTAAGTGACCAACCGATTTCTGACAACCAGATCATGCCCAGCTACACACGTTGGTCTAGTTGATACAAAAGTAGCCGAGTCGTGACAATTATACACGCCATCACACGAAAAGGCAGCCACGCTGTTCAGAACGAAATACTGCTTGTGAACACCGTATCATTTCTTTTTTCCGTGTAGACTTCCGTGCGAAAAAGAGCCGCACAGGCTCGCCACAGGCCTTTCCGAAGTTCCGCGGCGCCGACCAGGTCGGACACATAACTTTATAAGTGCGGGAACTTCTTGCGCACAGAGGTATTACTTCCTGGGAGTGCAGCGAGTTGCAAGCTTTCGTGTGCTGGACACATGAAAATTTCGGCTCTCGCGATCACCACTACCAACTACAACCACCACCATCACTACCATCACCACTACCACCCCGAAACCTCGACCCTTGAAAGAAACAGAGAGAGAGAGAGAGAGAGAGAGAGAGAGAGAGAGAG